GGAATAGCTAGCTGTCTCTCTCTCGCGCGCTCTCTCTCTCTCTCTCTCTCTCTCTCTCTCTCTCTGTCTCTCGCTCTCTGTCTCTTTGTCTGTCTCTCCCTCTCTCCCACTCTCGCTCTCATTCTCTCTCTGTCTCTCTCTCCTCTTTCTCACTCTCTCTCGCTCTCTCTATCTCTATCTCTCTCTATCTCTCTCCCTCTCTCTCTCCCTCTCTCTCGTCCAATTTGTACATTTGTTGTCTGTCTGTGTGTCTATCTGTCCGTTCCGGGATCCTCGTTCCAGACGTTGTTGACGGGGGAACCCCCTTGCCATTCTCGGGTCCACGGGATAACCACACGGAGACAAACAGACAGACAGACAAACAGACAAAAAGGCACACGACACGACAACTTCCCCTTTTCAAGACCGAAGATCCCAACTGGTTACCAGTTCCGAGTTCTTTTTGGGTTCCCCAGGAATCTCTGCTAGCCTGCCGCTCGAAAAATGGTTCTCCTAAAGAATCGCTGCCAGCTTGCCTAAAGCTGGAAAGAGGCAAAAAAAGTTTAAAGGGTTCATGATAGCAAAATCTCTGACGGCTTCAGGGGGTTCTTTTGCATTATCGGGGGGCCACCAAATTTTTTTCTTATCGCCAATTCTTCCAATATAAATAGAGGCAAAGTTTCGAAACTGTTTTACAACTGATAAACGCAAAAACTGTACAAAATTTTGTTAAAGAAATACAAAAATATAGAGTTTCCAACGAAATCATATTTTTTTAATTTTTCAAAGTTTTCGATCATTTTTCTACTTTTAATATAGCTAAATGTTCCTAAATAATCCTTGCTAGCCTGCCCTTCGAAACAAGATTTCCTCAAACATCCCTGCTAGCTTGCCTAGGCTTCCGGTAGCAAGAGAGCGAGAGATCGAGAGGGGAGAGAGAGGCGGAGAGAGTAAGAGTTTTTCTCCATTCTTCCTGTCATACTCCCTTTAAAACGTCCAAATTTGCGGGGGAGGAACAGCTATATTCTATTCGTTCTTTGCCCCTCAATATTTTCCACAAACGACACACTTTAGAGCCACCGGATTTTATACAATAAAAAATTTCGGGAGCTCCGCAAAAATCGGAGTGCCGTCCACGTGGACGGACTATGGACGACCGTAAAGTGAATGGTTCTCTCTCTCGCTCTGTCTCTCTCTCGCTCTCTCTCTCGCTCTCTCTCGCCGGGAAAAATGTTATGACGGCGATGGGCCCCCCGATAATGTCCTCCCCCGTCGCCCCCGGACCTCCGATATGTGATCCCATCAAAAAAATGCAAAAACGAAAAAAATATGGGGGCGCCCCTGGATTCTAGAAACTCGAGCAAAAGGTGTTCTGAAATTTAACCAATAAAAAACATGTTTTAAAGGGTTGGGGGGTCAAAATTAAGCATAAAATGTCATTTAGATATCGCAAACGGTCCGTAAAGTTTTTTAAAAACGTGAAAAGATAAATTTTTTGAAGTTATGATGTAAATTAATAAGTGAAATGAAAAGAGAGATTGTAATAACAAAAAACCTTTATTTACGGCTCTGGTAATAAAAGGAGCATTATTTGTCCAAATGACGGAGATGTCGAATGCAAATCAATAATCTCGGAAAACTAGCGCGGCATTGCCATTTATTTGAAACCTGGACTCATGGAGTCACTCAATAAAATGTTTTACATGATGTTCGAGTCAAAATCAAGCTTAAATCTTGAATTGACCCACGAAGTTCTACCTGCAGAAAAGCCTAAAAAAACCTTAATTTAGCTTTATAAGCACTTTGTGCATCCTTGAATCCTGGCTATTATAGTTGTTATGTTTTCAAATATAATGCGCTTAAAAACGGAATTGTTTCTGGTCAAAAGATATTTTCTATTCTTTTGCAAAATTACAATTAAACTAATAAATTTAGTGTAATCTAACAACGAACGCTTTTAATGCAAAAATAGAACATTTTTCGTTTTTCTTATTTTTCCGAAAGTATAATTCAGCATATCAATCAATATTACATTGTCTAACCGTTGACTTTGGCTTAATTTTATTCGTGTTTTAAATTTTAGTATTTTTTAATGTTTATTTTTATACAGTGCGTGCCAAAATGATAGGGGAATGGCGTTTTTAGCCGTTTTCTCGGCCGTCCTTTATTTCCGTGTAAAACAAAATCATAGGTCTTATAACCCGAAAAAAGACGCGTCTTTTGGTCTACTCGAAATCTCTTTATGCCAAAAGATCACGTTTTTAGAAGAGAATGTATAAAAATAAGCAAATAACACAAGTGACAAAATGATAGGGGAATCATTAACATATCATTTCCATCAGCTTTCTGTATGAATAGTGGATGTTGATTGATTTTAATTACAGATTCATAGCGGGAGAATATGTAAAATCGTATTTTCTGGCCAAAATTCTGACCGGAAGTCGTCGTTCAAATATTGCATCTAATTAGCATCCACTATTCATACGGAAAGTTGATGGAACACGGCATCTCAAGACCCGCAATTACGACATGTAATGGGTGGGCAAAAAATGCTAAGAGGGGAGCCTTTGAACGCTTATAACTTTTTACCTAGATTGTAATTTGAAAAAGTCGATTTCCAGATTTGTAGAACAAAATGCGTCTTTGAATGTGACCAAATAGAAAGGAAACTGAATTCAACTCTGAATTGAACCAAGGCTCTGAAAGTCAACGTTTCGAAGCCCACTTCAAAGCCTTGGTTCAATCTCAGAGTTGAATTCAGTTTCCTTCATTTGGTCACATTCGAAAGAGCGCATTTTGTCTCTACAAATCTGAAATCGACTTTTCAAATTACAATCTAGGTAAAAAGTTATAAGCGTTCAAAGACTCCCCTCTTAGCATTTTTTGCCCACCCATTACATGTCGTAATTGCGGGTCTTGAGATGCCGTGTGGAAATGATATGTTAATGATTCCCCCCTATCAGTTTGTCACTCGTGTTTTTTCCCCATTTTTATTCAATCGCTTGTAAAACTGTTATCCTGCATCGTAGAAAGATTTCAAATAGACCAAAAGATGCGCATTTTTCTGGACTACAGAGCCTGTCATTCGGCTTTCAGCTACCTAAAGGACCGCCAAGAAAACGACCAAAAACTTCATTCCCCTATCATTTTGGCACACACTGTATTTGCCACGAACACAGTGTTTCAAAGGTTTGTTTTGATCCGGAAAACCCGTCGATGTCCACCTGGCCGTGACGCGCTTGTGGCCGGTGCGTATTATTTGGTTACCCAGCCGTCCCCTAGCTGCTGAAATTGAAAATATCCAGACTTGCTTGTTGACTGTAACGTGACGTACGCGACGAAACTATTTACAAACGCCTAAAAACATCAAATTCTATCGTAAAATCTCCAGGAAAGGGTCCGAAAAATCGAAAACGTCCTTATTTTGACCAATATTTCTCAGGAATTAAACTATTCAAAACGATCAAGAGCTAAATAAATAATAAAAATAAATTGATTTAAGGGTGTTTGAAAGCTTAATTTAAGACAGTTTTTTGGTAAAAAATGAGGATGAGGCTAAACACATTAGCTTGGAAAACTCTTAGGACTCCTGTAAAATCTTTGATACATATTTTTTTAGTCCGCCGATAATTTTCTTCATCTGCTTTTTGCGCAAATGGTCCATTCTAGCTGGCCTGACAGCCCAGGCCCGTAACTATCTTGATTTTCGAACTGCTAAACTGCGCAGGAAACCAGTCCTTTGGTTAGAAATTAGTTTGGTCAATTCCTCCATCGCGTACCGAACTAAACTGTCAATGGAATGAAACACTTTTCTTTTTTAAAACCTAAATTCTTTGTTTTAAGGTTCCTAAATTTTCCATAAGGTTTCGCTGCTAGCCTGCCGGGGTCCGGGTTTTCGACAGATCAAAAAAACTGCTTCATGACGTGCTTTTTGCCTCAAAATTCTAACAAAGCCCAAGACAAGAATGGAACACACTTTTTCTAAGCGTGTGCTTTGCCCGTCTCGGCAAAATCTAAAGCCAACCCATAGCCATCAAAATCCATTTCCCGACTTGCCGGGCCCTTTAAAATCGGCAGCACTGGCCAGTGTTCAATTCGAAGAGGTCAAATTTACCGGGGGCATCCGAGGGGGCAACACTGCTCCGGAACAGAGCACAAACATTTGTGATCACACCACGCAACAGGCTATAATCTGACCGCGGGTGCACACACGTGAATGCGGGAAACTTTAGAAATTTGAGGTAGGGACGGGGAAGAAAAGTTCGAATGTCAAAACCCGATCTAAACTCGAAAATCGAGTTCTTTCGCCGTGTCGGGGGAACAACATTTGGTTTTCCTATTCCTAGACGTAAAAACTTTGTAAACCTTTATTAAAATCTATAAAATATATAGATTTCTGGAACAACGACCGATTTTTGACCAAAATATCTAGAATTTCTTTAAACATTTTTTGATAGTTTTCTAGCTGAAACATAGTTACTAAAGATGCTTTTGCCCGCAAAAAATCCAAGTTAAGAAACTTTTCTTGCCTTTTACAGCGCACGCCTCGGCCTATTTAAAAAACATTTAACAAACCAAACTATTTAGTAAAACAACGATCAATCAAAATATTTCAATCCATATCACTAGCCTACCGCATACCTACGAAGTTTTAAGCTACAAATAAGTCGTTTTCCGCTTCAAACTAACTTCTAAAGCAGGACACGGTGCTCCAACTTTCGAGCAACTACGTAGTACACTTGGCGACAATCCATTCACGTGAACCCTTAATCGGCGCGTGGACCGGAAAACGCGTACTCTGCACCGCAGTAATCCGATTGGTAAGTCGGTCGTTTCCTGGAATAGAATAGGCGATTTTACAGGAATTTTGGAGGGAAACGCTTCGTGAGCCCTCACAATCACGAGCCGAATGACCATAATCCAGGGAAACCATTAAAAACTTTATCGAAGGCTTTCAACAAGAAAAACAAAGAAATCACACACATTCAACGCTAATACACATCATCATCATCACAGTTCTATTTGCGCCAAAACCACCCTCCGGTTTGGGTTTTCGGAGCGGCGGCCGGCTGGGGCGCTTCCGGCTTCTTGGCGCCTGCTTCGAGATCAGAGAGGTGAGAGGAGACGTCGGGCATCTGAAAAACCCTTTGAAAATGATGAAAACGACGAAAATTAGCAAATCCTGCACCGTTCGCACGGTACTATTTGCGTGGGCTAACTTTCCGTACAGTAACAATTTTCAAGTTTTTAGATGCAGAAAGTTCACAAAAAAAAGACAAAAAATTGGAGGTTGTTTTGGCTGTCAAGACTTTTGGCAAGAATTGAAAAAAAAAAAAAAAAAAAAAAAAATGGAGAATTTGAAAAAATTTTTTAAAACCAAATAAAACGGTAAAACTATAAAATACATTAAATATTACAAAACAGGTTGGCATAGGGGCAAAAAATCAGATTAGTTCTCCTTATGCTACAATCCCCTCTCTAAAAGTCCAGTACCACAAAGTTTATAGACAAAACGATCTTCTTAGCGTCTAACCATCTAGAATTAGTGCAAAGCAAAGAGCATGTAACGGTGCGAACAGTACGCCATTTCATAATTTCTCAAATAACGAAACCTGAAGATGCGTGTGGGCCAAGTCGAAGAACGTCGCCTTGCCGGGCATCGGGAATGGGCGTGGCGGCTGGGCAACGACATTTACCTAAAACTCACTAAATTAGTCAAGCAATGGACAAATTACCAATTGCAAAGACGAAGCCAACGTCGGCAAGTTGCGCCACTCGTCGAGCGTGTCGACCAGAGGGCGGCGATCCAATGGAATGCGAATTTGCCGTAGCTTCTTGGCAACGCGAGGCTTTTCTGTCTGAAACGAACAAAATAACTTATGACCAAAGAGCCATAACAAAACCATTTTACAACCAGATGGTTACAGTCGCTTCGCGACTGCAACCATCTGGCCTTCGGGCCACCCTACATGTCTCACTCCACCACATCCTTTCCCACCTCCATCAATACCCCGATAGCCGGAAATCCCTGCAAAAAACTACCTAAATACCTTCCCGATGGCTTAAGCTACCTCCCCTAGCCGAAATCCCCTTCAAAAACCACCTAAATACCTTCCCGATGGCTTACGATACCTCCCCTAGCCGAAATCCCCTTCAAAAACTACCTAAATACCTTCCCGATGGCTTACGATACCTCCCCTAGCCGAAATCCTTTTACAAAACGAAAATAACGACCGACCGGATGGAATGAGAGCAAAAGAAATGAAATCCCCGTGAAAATTTTCATCCACGAAACGCGCGCGACCTGGCTCACTATGTCCAAAATCAGCCCAGCCTCCGTCCCCCACCCCTTTTACTAAGGAAAAAACTTTCAAAGTTAATTTTAATAATTTAAACTAAAACTTTTCATAATTTTTTTGTCAGTTTGGGGGTTTCTGAATGCGCTCTATCCGAATCCGAAGAGAGCTAAGCTCTAGCTCCTTTCCCCTTCGAGTTGAATTCGGCTTCGGACAGACAGACAGACGCGTCAAGAAAATTATTATAGTTGAT